GTGGACTGAGCTCCAGGTGGTCCTGCCTGTCGTGCACCGAGCCACTCGATGATCTCCTTGCGCGTTTGGGGATAACAAGGGTCGTGTTGTGAGTGTATGTGAATGTCTCTGTGTGTGTGTGCGGGCTTAGGGGGCCTTTACGTGACGATCGTTGCAGTTTATGGCTCCAGGCGTATAGGTTCGAGCTTCTAACCCTAGACCCCAAACCCGAAACGTCTGGTTATAAGGCCTCTTCGGACATCGAGCGTGATTCAACTTCAAGGCTTCTGCACCTTGCTAGGCCAATGTAGGATGCATGCGCACAGCTAAGCACACTGTGGGCGGCAAGTGCGCGTTTACGGACATGCCCAATTATTTATTCACAAAGAATCCATGTACCTACATAGTATATACTTGGCTCACGATCCCAAACACAGCGGCTTTTCATCTCACGCGCCTCGGCCCGCGAAGCATATCCCAATGTTGATTCACGCTTTGTGGTGTCGTACCTGGGCTGCTGTGGCAATGAAGGGCTACTTGGAAGCTCTCTTGACTTCTTCGTATCCCCTAGACATCTTACTAACCCTACTAACTAAGTCAAAAGAGCTCCCAAGTAGCTTAGCTGCACAAAGTCCGGCAATGGCTTAAGTTTTGTTTCGAGTCAGGGTCATGCAGCCATGCGTTGAAGATGACAGCTCCAAATGCCAGCCCACCCAATGAGTCCAATACCTCTTAATTACGGAAGATTCCTTAAATCATAATAATAATGATCCCTTTTTTACTTTAAGGTGCATTCCTTACTACAAGGGTATTCGGCTCTCTGGGGAGAGTTACCCTAAACCCTAAACCCTAAACCCTAAACCCTAAACCCGAAAGCCTAAACCGTTCACTTCTGCAAGTCAGGTGCAGTTCGAGTCCTACCCTCATCAGCTGCTTCGTCACTTCCTTGACGGGAACACAAGGAGGGGGTGCCTCAAGTAGTGTTATTGGCTGGTTCTTAGCAGGGAATGAGGGAATGATATACCCTATACAATCCCTTAAAGGGTAAAACAAAAATATATAAAGGGCCCTGATCTCCTCATTCCCTACTAAGAACCAGGCGGGTTAATAACGGCCCTGAACTGGGCTACAATTTCACCTAGAGTTGGTCTAGTACGGGAGCTCCTCGTTGTACGACCATTGTTCAGCAGACTTGCTGTAGAGATTTGAGGAGAAGCTGAAATTCAGCATCATGTGGGGGTTTACGAGAAATAATTAAGGGACCCCTAATTTTGACCCCCAAATGGTAGGATTCCCTTCCAATAAGGACCAAAATCCAAATCTAGAATCTAGACCCCAAATAGTAGGATTCCCTTACCATAAGGACGCCAGGAAGGTACCCCTAATCTCGGAAACCCCCCCCCATGTCTGCATCACAACATCGGGCTGCGAGTCCATGCATGCCTTCTGCCTCTATTTGCAGCAGCATGTTAGGGTTTAGGGTTTAGGGTTTAGGGTTTAGGGTTTCGGGTTTCGGGTTTAGGGTTTGGGGTAGCACAAAACAAGAGTTGATCGACTACATAAGAAGCACTGCGCAGGGCCTTATGAAGGGCCCATGTAACTACCCCGTTAAGACAGGCAGGCCAAATGAGCCGAGGAGCTTGCAGCGCGTCGTCCTCCAAGCGCCAGGAAGAGGATAGTACGATCCTCGTCTTCGGGGGATGCAGCCGGGTGAGCTGCACCTTGAGTTCCAAACTCTACTAAAAGTTGGGGTCAGAAACCCTGTACTACTATAAGAATGCGAACCATAAACCCTTTTGGGGTTCTTCTGGTCCCCAAGGTACAAGCCTACTGGGTTTAGGGTTTAGGGTTTAGGGTTTAGGGTTTAGGGTTTAGGGTTAGGTAGCATGAAGCAAGATTCCAACATCACTGCACATGAGCCGAGGTTCTTCGCCCCTGTGGCGGCTACAATGCGCCGCAACCGCTCCAGGCACGGTTCGAGGAAAAGGGCCTTGCTGGCTCAGAGCATGCCTAGGAGTATATACACCCTTAAAAAACTACTTAAGGAACACCCGTATCACAAATTCGCAAACCTACCAGCTGTTCTGGCGCATGTCCCCTGTTTTAAACGGGTGTCTGCTAATGGCTTCAGAACTCCCCCAAAGTAGAAGATAAGAACCCCTAGATGGCCTTTATAAGGAAGAATATGTCTACTTTCTTGGAATGTTCTTAATGCAATTAGTTGGATCAGGGATTGTCGGCCTCAACCGCCCATACGCCAGCATGGGCTAGGACACCTGACCTGTTGAGGCTCTAACGTAGTTGTCCTTTTTCTGGTAATAGTCACAGGGGATTCGAGTATACTACCCCACAAGGGTACCACACCACAACAGAGAATACATGGCAATTGTAGCCTTTGGGTACTCCGTCCCTTTTCAAGAAAACAAACCTCTGAAAAATATTCTGTCTATGATTCTCTTAAACTCCAAAAGAGAAAAACAAGTCAGATGTCCCAAGGCCTACCTAGAAACCCATCCCTAAACCCTAAACCCTAAAAACTAAACCCTAAATCCTAAACCCTAAACTGCCTAGAAACCCACCCCACCCCCTCCATTCGCACCTCGTCTCCTCCTGGGCTAACGCTGTCAGCCGCATGGAGCACCTCACTCATTGCATTTCCTTCTTTCTGGGTTTAGGGTTTAGGGTTTAGGGTGTAGGGTTTATAGGGTTTAGGGTTTCTGGGATACCGAATTTGATTGAGTAGCATGACTTGGGATGCTCTCAAAAGGTGTACTAACAGTCCTTAATCGGGAATATAATAGGGGGTACTATAATCCCTACTAAGGACTGCTAGTATGAGGGGAACATCCCAAAGCATGACGTAACTTATGCAAAACAAATCGGTGCCCACGAAAAAACCACATTAGGTCGGTAGGTCTATGTGAACAGATTGAGGGTAACCGGGTAGCCCGGCGCTTGTTGACAATTCACAGAGAAAGGGCAAGCATGTAACACGGAAGCACAGGAAAATACCCTTGTGAAGGTATATTCACTTTCTTCTACTCGAGGTAGGGCTAAACACTAAAGCTTGAAGACCCTATATCTTCTCCCACAATCCACCCGCAAACCAACCTGCCGAAGCCTAGTGGGCCCAGTGGTGTTGCCTACTGGTTCTGAGTAACATTAGGTACCGAATAGCTTTCGGGATATGCCCTTTAAGCGACTATGTGGGGTACCTTATTACCTCACAGAAGCCCTTCAATTGTCGGGTTTATGGTTTAGGGTTTTTAGGGCTTAGGGCTTAGGGTTTAGGGTTTAGGGTTTTGGGTCTTCTTGCAACCCAGGGCACACCGTCCACGTCGAGGAAGATCACGGAATACGGGAGGTCCGTCATGGGTCCTGAGGTTGAGTTGTGTTGGTTTTTCTCTCGACTCGTGCATGTCCTGGCGTTTGGGGAATATATGTAGATAGGGTCTAGGGAATAGAGGGCTTAGGGAAATTAAGGTTCAGGACTGTTTTTACCCCCCCCCCCCCCGAGCTGATAAAAAACACAGCATTGATTGCCAACCATTGCGACGTTTTCGGCTTCAGGCTCCCAGCCCCTACTCAAAGAGCCCTAAAGACCCCTTAAATGAGGAATATATGGGTTTAGGTTTTAGGGAATAGGGTCGAATAGACCTTAAATCAGATTCAGGGTCCATAATTGAAGGGGTCTGAGGCTCTTTGGATACAAGAGCAGAAGGACATTCTACTTCGACGAGGGCCTGGAGATCGACTATTCATTGAACCAGAAGCATTCAGGGAATGGAGGCATCTGGAATCTGGAAGCTGTACGCTTGGTGCAACTGCGGTACAAGCCCGCATTGCCAATCATTGCCATCTGCGCAATGGCGCGAAGCAATCCCCTCCCCTGCTTACATACCCAAAGAGCCCAGTACCACTCAAATAAGGAAAAATATACCTGAAATTATGCAGGGGTCCTTGATATGATTTCAGGTATATTCCTGAAGTAAGGGGTGGGGGCTCTCCCTAAACCCTAAACCCTAAACCCTAAACCCTAAACCCTAAAACCTAAACCCTGTCTTCCCAATAAATGCAGACTTGGAAGGTTTCCCTGTCTTAAGGGGGCAACTTCAGGAGCTAGGGCACAGCGTCATCTTGGCAACTGCTTGCGGTTTAGGGTTTAGGGTTTAGGGTTTAGGGTTTAGGGTTTAGAGTTTAGGGTGTAGGGTTTAGGGCTTAGGGCTTGGGGTTTAGGGTTTAGGGTTTAGGGATGCTGGAAGTTGTCCTAGGGCCACATGCAACCGTAGCTTGGCATGAGAAACAGCTGCGGCCGAAATGGCGACCATCTGATACCCTAAGCCCTAAACCTCAAAACAGCGAGGTTGACTGCGTAGTCCCGACTTGCAAGGCTCCCAGAAAGGAAGCCAGGCCCATGAGCTGAATTGCAAGGGCTTCAGATGGTTTAGGGTTTAGGGTTCAACCTTGGTAGCTCCGTAAGTAAGGGCACCCTTTTTTGGGTTGGTTTCTTTATAAGGGAACCCAGAACCGAAAAAACGGGTAAAGAGTGCCACGAAACCCTGAGCCCACCAATCTAGATTAGCTGCTTGGAGCTTCATGGTACTTACAACACTAATTATTTACTAATTATGACTCTACTTATAAGCCCCCCAGGTCCCCTAAGTAGGTTATAAGTAGACTTATAACTGTGGTTTTAAGTACCCATGAACCTCCAAGTGCTCGCTGTTAGGAGTCGTGGGCTGCAAGATAGCGTGAGCGCGTGCGAGCGCGAGTTGCGCGACACGCGAAAAAAAAGATGAAGATGCAAAAGGACCAGCCATCGCATCCCAAAACCATCGGTCAACACTCTCCTGACGCCTGCTCCTCTTCCTGACGTATCAGCCCAAAACCCTGAGCCCTAAACCCTAAACCCTAAACCCTACGCCCTAAACCCTAAACCCTAAACCCTAAACCCTAAACCCTAAACCCTAAACCCTAAACCCTAAACCCTAAACCCTAAACCCTCAACCCAGCCGAGACACGCAGCTCGCGTCCGAAGGTCCTCGGAGTCCAGAAGTGCAGCCTGGGCATAAAACTTCTGAAGCTCACATTTAGGGTTTAGGGTTTAGGCTTTACATTCCTTTCAGGTTGCTTTATACTCGCATGTAGTTTAGAGTTTAGGGTTTAGGATTAAAGGTTAAAAATCCTAAACAACCCTCGCAAAGTCCCTGGACGTTTCGGACTTTCCTTGGGTACAGGGGCTAAGCTAGGGGATTCGTCGTAATGCATTCTTATGCACTGCGCATTCTACTTCCTGAGCTTGGCAGATAGCAGTGTGGCTTTAGGGCTTAGGGTTTAGGGTTTTGGGTTTAGGGGACTATCGGGTCAACGGGCCTATGAAGCTTCTCCTAAGGGGGGTCCTCAATTTCGCCGTTGCTTCATCATAAAAGCACGTGGAAAATGTTGAGCTCCGAACATTTTTATTATACATGAATGGGGCTTAGGGCTCAGGGTTTAGGGTTTAGGGTTTAGCGAACTGGGTACATGCAGTCCCAACACCCTAAACCCCAGAAACTCTTCAACCCATGACCCTTCTGACGCATCAATCGCCCTGATCTGGCCCTGCCACACGTCCTTTCATACCCAGCCGTCCCGAGTGTTTCTCGGGGCTGGACTAGTCAAGGAACTGACCACTTCTGATCTGGGGCTGCAAACGATGCCTGTCATTGACCCTGAGCAGTCAAGCCGTGACGCCAGCTGGGTGATGGGGAAGTGGGCGCCGATGAAGCCAAAGCGAGCACCGCCTGAGCCAGCCGCGAGCGCTTTGGTACTCACTAAAGTGAGTACCCATGCTGAAGAAGCTTGTTGAACCGCCTTTCCGGGGATCTTGAAGAGAGGAAGAGAGCGCTTGTCCAGCTTGTCCACAGAGCTTTGGGGAGTCTGCGGGGAGCTCAAGCATGAAGCTAGTCCCAGGATTCTGTGGGCTAATGACCGAGGCTTTCAAAAAGGAGCGAGAGCACGCAACACATACTCGGCATGCCGAGCCGACAAAGAAGAAACCAGTTGAGAAAAAGGTTTGGGGTTTAGGGTTTAGGGCTTAGGGTTTAGGGAATCATGTAGCCTGGCCTGACTCAGCGACGCCTTGGCCCACAAAGGACTTCTTTGGGTTCGGAACACGCACGCCGGCCACAGTGACATCCTCAGCGCATGAAGATCTGTAGAGGGTTTGGGCTTCAAGGGGATGACTGCCCGCTCCACTGCTGTGAACCTCTCCCCTTCTATTCTCATTAAGGATTCGCTGAGCACGGGAGACCTGTCTGTTTTGTGTCCCGAGTACTACACCTAAACCCTAAACCCTAGACTCTAGACCCCAAACCCTACGCCCTATAAACCCTAGTCGCCAATTCTGAGTGGTACCTGTCAGGTGCCCCCCCCCCCCCCCCCCCCCGTCTTAGAATAGCCCCCCTGCAGGTTCAGGCTACCCTTTGCTTCGGCTCCTGGAATCTAAGGGCAGTTGCATGGTCCCTTAGTATGGGCCCTTGAGAAAGGGGACCCCTTATGTACCCCTTACATACCCAACACAACCCAAAGGGTCCAGACTTCAGAAGCATCAGGGGGCCCCCAAGGGCCCAAATGTGACTACCCTTAGATGGAAAAGGGGAACCGCGCCCCAGCGAATTCTCTTGCGGGCACGTTTTTTACGCTTGTTCAAAGGGCTTGGTAGCCTAGTACCCATATGAGAATGAGGGCACCCCCTTTTTGTGGGTTGGTATTACTTTTATAATCCGAGCATCTGATTAGTGGGTGGGCCCCCCCCCCCCCCCCCCCCCCCCAAAATAAGGAATGCAGGGTTCCGCAATAGTTGGACCGTGGCCCTGTATTGATTCTCTATTAAAAACAATAGGCTGCAGATCCCTGAGGTGCTGTAGCTTTGCGTCTCCGCAAGCAACACAAGAAGCCTGCCGACAGATTTTTGAACCCCCCCCAAAAAATTCCTTTAAATGTGGGGGGTTTGTCCCATACGAAATCCACCCTAATGGAAAGTAGTCTTCCGGCGGGCTTCCGGCCAAAACAAATTTCTTTAAATGTGGGGGTATTAATTAATCAGATGCTCGGATTAAAAGCGAACCTTGAACAAAAAAAAGGGGGCAAAGGGCACCACTGGGCTACCTAGAAGGTCCAAGGTTAGGTACTGCGGTGTGTTTAGAGGCGATCACACCACAAGAGCCTTAGCTCCAAGACCCCCTAAACCCTAAAACCTATAAGTTGGGATGTTCACCCTTTGTACTAACAGGCCTTCATAAAATTCATACTGGGGGCACTATAATCCCTATTAAGGACTGCTAGTGCCAAGCTGTATAAGAAACCTTTCCCCCCCAAGAAAACAGAACAAGCTAGAACAAAAAACTAACTATAACGAACTTGGAAGCCTAGCAAAAATGAAAATGTTAGCTGTTTTTTAGGAATTAGAGTGCCCAAAAATGAGAAAATATTCCCCAGAATTCCGAAGTTAAAGGTCGAGGTGTGGCCCACGCTTGGCACCTTGCAGGAAAGCATCTGTCAGAAGCCCGAAGATTGTTGCGGCATCCTCCTGAAACCTGCAAAGGAGCGCCGTCAAAGAGATTTTGTTTTTTGGGTGCTTCTCTTGTTCAAGGCCTTGGCCGCCCAGACACCATATAACAATGAGGGCACCCTGTTTTTGGGGGTTACTTTATACCCTAAACCCTAAACCCTAAACCCTAAACCCTAAACCCTAAAAGTGAAAAGGGTTACCACAGGGCTACCGAGCAGCGGCAGCTCATAGCCTTCCACAAGTCCGGCAGGCAGCGGAACCCCGAGACCCCAATACCCTAAATTAAGGAATATGCCTTGAATTCTAGTCCGTCATATGATTTTAGGGTACATACGCCCTAAACAACCCTAAACCCTAAGCCCCAAGCCCTAAGCCCTAAACCCTAGCTCAAAGTGATTAAGGGGTACAAAGGGCTCTCTGGGAAGCGGGTCACCCGCCTGGCATCATCGTGGATCAGCAGCGTCTGCATGTCCCCGCTGTGTCTGGCAGCCACTTCTTCGATCAACGCGCGAACCTGGTCCACCGGTCAATGCGGTTTAGGGTTTAGGGTTAGGGTTTATAGGGTTTATAGGGTTTAGGGTTTAGGGTTTAGGGTTTAGGGTTTAGGGCCTAAGGATCCATGTACCTGAATAGTATATACTTGGGCCTTAAAGGGGGTTCCCATATAGTAGCTTTAGGGTGCAGGTAGATGCCATAGAGGTGCATGGATCCTTAGGGCACGCCATGTTCGTACCGGAGTTCCTTTCAGGACGTAAGACAGTGAGACAAATGTCCAGCGGGCCTCTACATAACCCTAAACCCTAAGCCCTAAGCCCTAAGCCCTAAGCCCTAAGCCCTAAACCCTAAACCCTAAACCCTAAACCCTAAACCCTAAACCCTAACCCTGCATTCAGATAAGGTCTCCTAAGAAGGCATGGTGAGATGGATCGAAACCAATGCCTTAGGTGGGGTTTCCCCCCTATACCAACAGCTCCTTACTTAGGGATTCTAATGGGGGTACTAGAATCCCGATTAAGGACTGTTGATGTATTTGCCATTCAAAGGGAGAGGGGGGGGAGAGAGAGAGAGAGAGAGATAAAGACAAAATACAAAAAACATGAAAACAAAGAGCGCATGAGAGAGACTCGCAAATTAACATCAGGCCTAGCACGTCCAAGGCGAACGCCACCCCCCCACACCCCAAACCTTCAAACCAGCATCTGTCTTCTGACTAGAATGATCAGAAGTTGTACTTACCTTGGAGCCCTCCATGAGAACGTCACCTACCCTAAACCCTTTTGACCCCGCGAGCTCTGCCGGGTTTCACAGCTGTCCCACCCTAAACCCTAAACCCTAAACCCTAAACCCTAAACCCTAAACCCTAAACCCTAAACCCTAAACCCTAAACCCTAAGCTGTTCATACCCGAAATCCCGTCCACCCGGCGGCCAGCGGCCTTCGTCGACTTCGTCTGCTTGGACTCAGCAGCGGCACTTTGCGCTTGCAACCGGCAGCGCCTGCACTGTGGGCTCCCAAGTGGGTATACACAGACCCAAGAGGGGCCCAATACCCCTTGATCAAGGAATATACCTCCTTAAACTATACAGGGGCCCTTCATATGATTTAAGGTATGTTGCTTAATTAAGGGGTATTGGGCTCTTTTGGGGGAAGCAATACAAGGAACCCCTCCCCCCCCGAGCAACACCAAGCAGACTGATAAGGCCCCTGACTTGGGTTAAATCTCCAAGTTAGGCCCTTAAATATATATAGCTAGCATAAGTAAGGGGGTCCTTTGATGCGGTCATAACGGAAGTACAAGACAACACGAGAAGCAACGCGAACACAGTACAACGTTTCAGGTTTCAGGCTTGCAAGTATATCCACAAAAAAAAGCCCAGAAAGCCCGTTTACCCCCCTTAACAAAGGAATTTGCCTGAACTTACCTAGGGATGCTGAATATGATTTCACTCCTTATTTAAGGGGCATAATTGGGCTCTTGAGGTAGCACCAAGCCCGTGAACATCCAACGCCCGTGGGACCCTAAACCCTAAACCCTAAACCCTGAACCCTAAACCGCTGGAGGGCTGGAGGGCTGGGGGGCTGGGCTCTTGGAGGTGCTTTGGGACTGAAGGGAAGGCTTGAGACCAAGGTTTGAAACATCTACCAGACCCTGAGCCAATCTCGTATTTCTTGTTTCCCGACATGTGCAACGAAAAATTCCAGGGTCCAATCCGATGAACGCCTGTATCTTATAGAATAATTATTTTCACCGTAGTTCAACCTCTTGAGTTCCTCCGCAAGAATTCAGTGCAGCCTAAGAGGGCGACTGTCTGAGTCTGAGGTCAGAAAGATCCAGCGTAACCTGTATACATCTTATGCAACAAGAAAGATGGGTTTAGGGTTGAGGGTTTAGGGTTTAGGGATTTTAGGGTTTTTAGGGTTCAGGGTTTTTGGTGCTAGGCTTCCGTGCTCTAAAGGGTGCTCTAAGTAGCGTTCAACTGGCACTGTCAGGCCGCGCTGCGGGAAGATGGTGCCCAACTGCTCGCTGAGGCTGGCGATGTCCAGGCAGCTCTCCTGCAAATGGTTTAGGGTTTAGGGTTTAGGACGTTTGGTCTTAGGGTGGCCTGTTGAGGTTCATGGTACTTCTGTAACCAATGATGACTGTCCTTATAACCCACTTATAAGCCCCTTTAGTGCCCTAATATGGTTATAAGTACTGTTACAGTTGGCTAATAAGTACCATGAACCTCCAAGTTGAGGTTCATGGGCTTCTGAAGGCGATTAGGGCCTCAAGGGAAGGGACTGCGCCCAGCCTTCCAGCAAAGGACTGAGCTGCTTAGCCCACCGATGAACCAAAAGAGGTTGTAAGGTCGAAGCTACGAAAGCACAGAAAACTCGGGCCTCCTTTTCAGGGCTTAGGGTTTAGGGTTTAGGACACACATGCTCGTACTGGGCCTATTGCGAGAAACCTCAAACCCTCAAGACCCTGGACTCAATGAACCCTAAACCCTAAACCCTAAACCCTTTGCACGCGCAGGCCGGAAACGAGACGAAGATGGCATCGGGGTCCGAACCGTCCTGATCAAGGGAGTCACACTCCCCTAAGGATGTACCCCTAAGAGGATCCCCTGATAGATTCCTAATATGGCTCTTATATTCCCTGAGAGGATCTTTAAAATGGGTCCCCAAACCCAAGGGTACAACCTCAGGGGTCCATGGTAGATTCCGATGACCTGAGGGTCTGGGTGTTGCTACTTGGAAGCCCTTTTGACTTAGTAAGTGGGGATGGGGATACTACGTAGACTTACGAAATCCAAACGCCCGGAAAAAAAACAAAAACAAAACAAACCAATGCATACGACCACCCACCACCCCCAGACTACACAATTCCTGACCCTTGATGCGGCAACTCCGCTTCCTGAACTGCTAAGGCCAACGCACGTTTTGGGATGTGAAATATTTCAGCAGGGCGAACAATACACAAGCACAACTTGCAAGCAAAGCCGTCAGTAGATCTCAACAAACCCTAAACCCTAAACCCTCAACCCCTAAACCCTAAACCCTACACCCTAAACCCCTAACCCCCAAACCAATGCCTAAACCCTAAACAAGCAATATCAGCCCAGTAACAGAGAGCGGCGAGGCCAGACTTCTTTCCAGGGGCTGTCCGAAGAGACCTCCGGCGCATTGATAGGGTTTAGGGTTTAGGGTTTAGGGTTTGATCTTTAGAACTTGCAAGAGCCCTACAAGGAGGGGGCCCCTTACTGTCTATACTCCCCTTAGAACCTTAATAAACATAATATGTTCAATACCCCCTTGGGTTTAACATGAACAAATAATAATTCCCAAGGGGATATAGTAACGTACTACCTATGGATTCAGGGATTCAGAATCTAAGTTTAGGATACCTATATCCTAAGCTTAGGGCCCTTATCGGGCTACTTTTGTACCTATAGGGTGTAGAACAAGGAAGAGCCATCAAGATCGATGTCGGCCGAGTTCCTAGACAGCTTTGAGGCCCAAGTTGTTTAGGGTTTAGGGTTTAAGGTTTAGAATTTAGGGTTTAGCCACTTCGGGAATTTAGGGGTTTCGTGCTTGGGCTCTTAGGGTTTAGGGTGAGCCCAGCTACCTCTTTGTATGTAGGGCGCACTAAACTCAACCCCCTAAGCCCTGGACTCTAACGGCCTTCATACTAAGAGCCCGAACAACGACACAAAGGTTTTGGGCGCTGCTCTGGCTGAGGTTGCGGGTGGTAACTAGGCCCTTTTACCCTAAACCCGAAACCCTGAACCCTAAACCCTACACTCTAAACCCTAAACCCTGAACCCTAAACCCAAAGCAGCGCAAGGCAACGGCACAACAGCAAGGTACAAACAATGTTAACCCCCCCCCCACCCCTTTCCTCCAGAAAAAGACAACTCAAGCTTCGTGCTGCTGCGAGTGCTTGATGGCTTCTGCAACTGCAGGGAGCCCTACTCATACTCGTGCTCCTCCTCCCTCCTCCTCCTGTTGCAGCTTCTATTCCTACTGCTACTGGCATTTGCGATTGTCAGCAGCCGGGCTTAACAACCGTGTAGACATGCGTAAACAAAACACAACGAATACGAATAACACAACAACAACCTAATGCCACGCATACTACTGACAGAACTAACGAAGTCAAACATACGAATGGTACAAACAATGCGGATCATGCTAGTCAAGAGGATACGTCAACACTTGTAGGATGATAAACGTACTAAAAACAATAAAGAATCAGAACACTGATGGTGGTGATGATGATACAGACTGAGAATGCTCATGAATATGCTAGTCTGAATAAAGCTCATGATGGACAATCATAATGAACACAGTTACTCAGACTAGTGGTATTTGTATGAGCATGAAAACAATGTGCTACTTGCAGTCTTGGCAATAACAAGAATATTGATGATATGGAAATAATTAAGCAACAATGGAATAGCAATAAGCAGAATCGATTCTAAAGCACACAGGAACAACCACAACAAACATGAGGATGGCAATCAAAGTCCTTCTTATTCTCATGAATATTTGTTAACCAATATTTCGTTACATATATTTCACTGCGACGACTCATACTACTATTCAGAATACTAGCAACCGAGTAAACCAACAGGCATATGGCCGACCAGGAGCGACCACGCCCAATACCCCTTGAATTCAGGAATCTATACCTTAAGACATAAAGGATCCCTTAGTAGAAATGAAGGTATATCACTAAACCCTAAATCCTCAACCCTAAGCCCTAAATGCTGAACCATATGTTCCTTAACCCTAAACCCTAAACCCTAATAGAGGTCTCTCCGGGTAGAGCCCAGGAGGCCTTGAATCGCATCTGATGACTGCAGCTGCTGGCCTCAGTGCAGAATCACGCCTACCCCTCTAAGGGAGGTCAAGCCATTTAGGGTTTAGGGTTTAGGGTTTAGGGTTGCATGGTCCCTTACTGTGGTCCCTTGCCATCTCTGAAGGGTTCTGAGGTAGGTTTGATAGGGTATATCAGGGGCATATGAGGGTTCCCCCAATCAAGGGCCCATACCAAGGCACCATGGAGCTACCTTAAAAACCCCCCGTCCCCCCCCAACCGGGACGACCCTGTAACGTCGTTTAGGGTTCAATGGTGTTGAAAACACCAGGAAAAGCAGAAGGGTACTCCCTAAACTCAAGGCTCAGGCGGCCCTGGCCCGGAACCCACGCACCCCCTAGAAACCTCCACGCTCCTCAAAACATGGAAAAAATGTGGGGTGGTTTCTGCTCAAAATCTCCGTGTATATGTATATACATACACACACACATATATATATATATGTATATGTATATTCCTGCAGTCGGTCATTTTTCCGAATCTTGGCCCCCCAAGATTTTTTGTAGAATTTAGGCCTAAACCCTAATTGGAGTAGGTTAGGGTGGTGTTGCCGCCTGAGACGGCGTGGGGTGGGATAACACCGTGTTAGATGGTCCTCCACAATCGGGCCACGGCTGCTCTTCGCACGGAGCTGCATCCTAACCTTCACAGCTTCTGCGTCTAGTATTGCCGCACACTCTGAGTCCTAAACTCTAGACCCTAAACCCTTCACAAAAAGCACATGGGATCTTTCTAGTAGTTTAGGGAACCATGGGTTTGGGATTGTCTAGGGTCCGCTGGGAGTGTGGGTTGCTCACGTCTTAGGGACCCAGCTTCCTCCATGTTGAGGACCCGAGAATACCCTCGGAATAAACATGGTGCCCGTTCTTGCTGACAGGGGCTTATGAAGGAACCTAAACCTCAAAAAACGGGAAGAAGGGCCTACTCTGGGTCCTAGTGGATAAGCAAGCTGAGTGTAGAACGCGCGCTTGGGCGAGCATTCACTGTTTTGCATACTGTTTTGCTTCACTGGGGGCGGTAACAGGCTCCAGAAAAATAACAGGGGTGGTCGAAGCTTTCGCATCCGCTGCTGGCATACTGTTGCTCACAGGGGCGGGAAAAGGCGCCTTAGGACTGACATGCTGCAGACACGGATCGCAAAGCCCCAAGCCCAAAACTATGACTTTCAAGGCCTAAACCCCTAGAAACCCTTTAACCTCTCTTTTTAAACAAACCCGAACAGCCCTGAACCCTGTAAACCCTTTCTGTTGTCTTACAACCATCCGGGTGGCTGTTGGCCAAGTTGAAGGTGAGAAACCTGAACCTGTAGTGCCGGCCTGCAAGTTAGCGCATGCGTTGGTCGAAGGGTATTCGCATGTCGGTGTATTGTTGGTTATTCATATTACTAAAGTTGACAATACCTGAAGGGTGAAGCCGAGGACAACGAAAGCTGGCCCAATATGGATTGCAGACACCCCGCTACACACTGCGCACTACTACCAACTCCACCGCTGCCACCACCACACTCCACGCTCCACCACACACCAACACCACTTGGAGGTTCATGGTACTTAGAACCCAGTTACAACTGTACTTATAAGCCACTTGTAAGGCCCTTCAGTGCCCTTACATGGTTATAAACTGGGTTATACGTACAGTTATTGTTGGGTAAGTAAGTACCATGAACCTCCAAGCATAACCACCACTACAGAGCACAACACTCCACACTCCACAACCCCCCACACGCCACACATGCGCCCACGGAGACCACGATCGATCCAGATCTGAGGGGCGTTCCGAAATGCGCGAGCGCTTCAGAGAACCTCGACTGCGCATCTATCACCACCCTCCTCCGCCCCCCTCCCCCCCCCCGGTTTGCCGATAAATTCGATGCATGGGCGACCCCTTGCCCGATTAACGGACCCTACCGATAGAAACAATACCCCATCCCTCCTTTTCCTCAATTGGACCCCTTCCCTTGCTAAAGCAAATACAAGTCCACCTCCCTATGCCAACTTTCGTGATTATGAAAATAAGTAATAATGTTCGTGCTATTAGTACCATTAGTTTTTTATCTTGGAGATCTTGTTTCTCTTCGCATTCATAGTTTAGTGTTTGCGAAGGGTTCAGGATTTCGACTCATGCTTCAAAGTCTCGAGCTTCAATCACCACCAACCATCCTCTGTGTTAAGAAGCCTCCGGGCGAAACGAATCCTCAGGGTAAGCTTGAAAGTTCAGAACAAAGCAGGACTTGCCCGGTCTTTTTCCAGACGGCATGCAGGCATGGCTTGGATGAGCGCTGTTGGCTGTTGGTGCTCATAGCTCCGGATCGATTCCTGCAGAAATCAGACCGTCGACGCGGTCGAGTCACTCGAGAGCACCTCAGGCAAAATCTTTTCATAGAAGAGACCAGGCAAATCCACATGTGGGAACTCTGCATCCGGAATGGGCTTGCCGAGGAAGTGGGCCAGCGGCGCCCAGCCATCTGAAAAATTGAACACCAGCAGTCGGTCGGCAGGGATCACTTCCTGCACGCGCTCATTGTGTCGCTTGTAGCTATCCATGCACTGCTTCTTGGACGCTTCGGACGCGCTCACGTTGGCAACATCACAGCCCCAGTACACCCCAGCACTGCAGGTTTCCCCTGCCTCAGTCTGCGCCCAGGTGTCGAGTTGCACAGCGTCTATAAGCGGATCGATGACGGACCTCATGCTTACCAGAAGCTTCACGTAGCTGTCATACCATCGCTCTGGGTCCGAGATGGTTAAGACAAACTTCGCCTGCGGGAAGGCCTCCATGATCTCCTCGTGGGATTGGCTCGATTCACCGGCAATCCCTTTCAAAAGCGACCCAAGAGCTCAATTTGCCCCTGAGTTAGGGAAGATAACCTTAAATCATACCTAAAGGCTCCTATGGAGTACCTTTTTTGGTAGCATACTAAAATCCTCTGTAACAAAGCGAAAAAGGAACTACATTAGAGCCTTTCGTGTACTAAGTACCCCTCTTGCTTAAGCACCTCCCCCCAAAAAAGAAATAAAACAAAACGGTGTTCCTTACAAGGGGGGACTATTATCTTTCACTTTCTGGGGGGGGGTTCGTAAGCAAATAGTAGATGAGGGGAACCCTAAACCCTAAAAGCCTAAAACCCTTCAACCCTAAAACCCTAAAACCCTAAAACCCTAAAACCCTTCAACCCTAAAACCCTAAAAACCTAAAACCCTAAAACCCTAAAACCCTAAAACCCTAAAACCCTAAAACCCTAAAGCCCTAAAACCCTAAAACCCTAAACCCTAAAACCCTAAAACCCTAAAACCCTAAAACCCTAAAACCCTAAAACCCTTCAACCCTAAAACCCTTCAACCCTAAAACCCTAAAACCCTAAAACCCTAAAACCCTAAAACCCTAAAACCCTAAAACCTACAGGGTGGGGCCCCCTTACTATACTAACTGTAGTTAAGGGACTTATAACCTAACTTAGGGTCCTTATAACCCAATTTAGGGCCCTTATAACTCTACTTATAACTAGGGGGCCCCACCCTGTAGACCCATCTCCTCATACACCAAGTGGAAGGGCTCGTCCATCGCAGCATCGAAGCCCTGTAAGGTGTCCAGCGCTTCTTGGAGGGAGCCGTTCCCGAAGAGGTACTCGCACCAGGTCTTCCCTAAGGAGTTCAGAGCGTTTAGGGTTTAGGGTTTAGGGTTTAGGGTTTAGGGTTTAGGGTTTAGGGTTTTAGGTTCTAGGGTTTCTGGTTCAGGGCAGGTCTTTCCGGAGGAGTTTAGAGGGCTATTTCGGGTTTAAGGTTCCTAGCGTTCGTAGGCTTTAGGGTTTAGGACTGTTCCTAGGGTTTCGGGTTCCTGGGCGCTGGGTGCGCTGGGGTCGCTTTGAAGCCTGTGATTTAAGGTTTGGAGAAGGCATGGGGTCTAGGGTGAGAGCTGCTTAGGGTTTAGGGTTGAGGGTTCAGGGTTCAGGGTTTAGGGTTTAGGGTTCAGGGTTCAGGGTTCAGGGTTTAGGGTTTAGGGTTTAGGGTTTAGGGTTTAGGCCAGGGACAAACAAAATACCAAAAACAGCCTCCATGAGAGTCCTGCCGAGCTTCTCCTGAAGAACTGATAGCCGCTGTGCAGTGTCTTGAGGCCAAGCCTGTTCATGGCCTTAGCTGCTGAGTTCATAAGCCTCCGAAAAAGGTGTTACACTTTCAGCTCTAGCAGGGATTATGGTCTCAACCCTTTTGAAAAAATCCTAAACCCTAAACCCTACAAAAAGTGTCGCTAAGTTGCCAGATGCATGGATTGTGTGCCCGTCCTTGGTGCACCCACATCCAGCACTTCTAGTGCTGCCGAGGGCAGGAAGCAGAGGAAAAGAAGCAGCGACACCATGGCAGCCTAGGGCCTAAGAAAGGAGCTCCAGTCGTTTGCATGGAAGGTTTCGGTTGAAGTTGGGCCAACATGGCTACGGGTTTTCATGGTGTTTGGTTTTGGGCTGCCAAGTTTTGGGCTTGAAACCTGTGGCCTTGGATTGTTCTGGATTCTGGCGGGTAGTAGTGCCTGAAAGTGTGTTCAGGCACAGGGACAGCAACATATCAGACCCACTACATTTTTAAGGTTCTTGCCACCCTACTAGACAGGCGGCGCCATGCCGAAAGAAACCACCAAAGCACAAAGGCGCCTGGTGTCGCAGACGTGTCACAGAAGTCCTGCCGATGGCGGTCGTTAGGGAGGTTGCTGCACCAGAAAGCACTGCCCCAAAAGAGCCCTCTACACCCTTTTAACTATCTTCATTCCCACCTATAGATTCTGAGGCAAAAAAAAACAAAGCGCCTCGATATCCATCTAGGGGTCGTACCTGGAGGGCCCGTTGCACCCATGGGTGTTAGGTCCCCAGCATGCCAAATACGCCTGAATTAAGGGGAATGTACCTTAAATCATAACTAGGGTCTCTGCATAACTTAAGGTAATACTCCCCCTCAACCCTATAACCCTAACCCCATCATATTCCTTAATGAAGGGGTATTGGGGCTCTCTGGGTCACCCTAAACCTTAAGCCCTCAACCCTAAATCCTAAACCCTAAACCCATTCGACATCCCCCGCCCCCCCGCACCTCTACGCTCATGGCCATGTGAGGGCAGACAAGCAGTGGGAGTACCCAAAGGCCCCTCTCCGTATACATATATATATATATATATATCCCTGTATGAAGGAATGTATACCTTAACAATCTATGGATACATCCCTTCTGCTGAGGAATACATGCCTGAATAGAGGCAGCCTTCATATGATTTCGGAAGGTTCCTGGATTGTGCGGGTTGCACTGCTCGTGTGCTTTCTCGTCTTAAGCTTGGGAGGAATTTGGTGTTTGACTCGGACAAAGTGACTCGTTTTTTGTTAGGCTGAGCGTGCGGATGTACATATGTATATATATATATGTATACATGCACGTGAGCGTGTATGCGTGTGCTCGCGTATGTACATGTGTGTGGTCCTATCTGGTTCGAGACAGCTGCGCTTCGTAGGGTCTGCAGAAGTTGCATTTAGGCCTGACCCGGCGACCCTATCTTGCCCCTCTACTGAAGACGCGCTCGGCTGGCTAGGGTTTAGGCGTTAGGCATTTAGGGAATTTAGGGAATTTAGGGTTTAAGGTCTTTAACCCTAAACCCTAAACCCTAAACCCTTTCCTTGCCACACCATTTGCGTTGGATGCCAAGCTCGAAACGATTTGCTGCGGAACAGCGGCACAGGGATGCTACACGAATATCCAGCGACAAACGTATTCTGAAATTCAGGGTTTAGGGTTTAGGGTTTAGGGTTTAGGGTTTAGGGTTTAGGGTTTCTGTTTGCAAACAGAATCCACAAGGTGAGCACTTGGAGGTTCATGGTACTTATTAACAAACCATAACTGTACTTATAACCCCCTTGTTATGAGCCCCTTCAGTGCCCTAGTACAGTTATAAGTACAGTTATAAGTACAGTTATGACTGGTTAATAAGTACCATTACACGCCAAGTAGGGTAGTCTGATTAAAGCTCAGATCAGACATGAGCTGTATACGCAGTATGATCCGTCTTTGCGATCCATACCACCGCAGTCTCCACGTAGTTTAAGGTAATATGGCGATTAATCCGATTAGGATGCCCAGAAACCTGGAGAAAAAAGGGCACCCTTTCTGGTTCAAGTAGGCTTGTAGAAGGGATCCTCAGCCCAAAAAAGAGAGTAAGGGGCACTACTGGGTGTCCTAGATGTTTATTAAGCAAATAGTAGATTTGAAAGCCTCTTAAGATCAAGGCATGCACCCTATAAAGAGCGCAGACAGGGATCAAGCACCAGATCAGCCAGGGTTTAGAGATTTTGGGGAGCTATGGGCCTACGAGGCTGCTACGGCTTTTGGCGGTAGGGGATTCCTGTGAAAGATCCAGAACCCAAAAAGTTGGGATGTCTCCCTTATACGAACAGTACTTAAGAGGGATTGTCATAGGGGGTGCCATAATCCCCACTTTAAGGACTGTTCGTATAAGGGCCCCCGCAACCTTAGGGCTTAGGGCTTAGGGCTTAGGGCTTAGGGCTTAGGGCTTAGGGCTTGGGGTTTAGCGTTTAGGGTTTAGGGCTTAGGGCTTAGGGTTTAGTTCAAAAAATCAATAATAGTAATCCCTATCTTGCCCGAAAACGAGAGAACATGTAATGTAGGGGCCTGAATAATTAGAATAGGGTTTTGGAAGTTATTGTGGTATAGCTATAATGGGACCCTAAGGGAATAACATCAGTAATTATTGCGACCTCAAATTTTTTTGGTGGCTCGTAGGCACAAAAATGGCAGCCACGGGTTAGCGACATCGGATCACTCCCACACTTTTGCCGGGCACCTGAGCCTCAATATTTCCGGGTGGAATATTTAGAAGGTTTAGGTTTAGGGTTTAGGGTTTTAGGGTTTAGGGTTTAGGGTTTAGGGTTTCGGGTTCAGGTTTTAGCACCCCCTGAAGCCTTTCTCGCCGGAATCCGAATCCAAGCCCCGGCAAGACAGAGCATGCCTCCACCCCCAGGCGTGAGGCGGGAATCCCGCGTGCCTGACTGGCTTTCCCAGAGACTCCAAAAACCCTTAATTAAGGAATATACCTTAAATCATATTAGGGTTCCTATTCTGATTTAAGGGATATTCCTTAATTAAGGGGTTTTGGAGTCTCTGGGTTGTGTTGGTTCAAGGAAGGCTAACCTTACGAAGCTCTTCAGTTCAAACTCGCCGGGTTGCGTGTCTTGCCCCATTCTCAGTAGGAGAACTGTAGGTGTTGTTCCTGAGTCTTGTTTGATGAGCCCTACCATTTGATCTATTGCGAACCTGCAAATGTTCGAGTCTTACAGAGCACCTGACGCCCATAAACCTCCTGAACCCTACTCGGCGCACAAAAGTAAACCCTACCCGACCCTCTGCAGGGAACAACCCCTACCCCCCCCCCCCCCCCCCCCCCCCCGCCCCTCTTGCAAAACAAAACACGGCACTGCCAAAGAAAAACAAAGCAGGGCTTCGAAGGGTTTATTTGGGCAGTCGTCTACCAGGTGGGGTACTTGGAAGCCCTTTTGACTTAGTAAGTAAGGCTGGCAAGGTGGCTTCTGGGAAATCCTTACAAAGTCCAAAAGAGCTTCTAAGTAAGAACCTTTCCAAGATCTGCATCTCCTACGGAAATGAGCAACCGCTAGCCTCCCAGCGCTCGCTCAGGGCCACCCCCAGGAGCCGACGCTGCAACAACTCGCCTTTGAAGAAGAGCCAGGCTATATCCCGACTAGGGCCCCTCAACCCTACTTGAAGGTTCATGGTACTAACTAACCAATTATAACTGAGACTGTACTTATAACCCTACTTATAATACCCCTTAAGGGTTTTATAGGGGTTATCCCAATTATAAGTAGGGTTATAAGCCCAGTTTTAATTGGTTAGTAAGTACCATGAACCTTCATGTAGGGCCCCTCAACCCTAAACCCTCAACCCTAAATCCTTATGGAGCCTTCGTCTTCTCTAGCAAATAGGGGCAGGCAGGCGCTTCAGACCCGGCAAGCCGAGATCTGCATTCACTTGACACGCGTTGCAGCAGCATCCTGAATCACACAAAGCACCCGTCTTGTAGTCCCAGGCGCACACTTGGAAACCCTTTTGACCTAGCAAGCAGGGCTAGTCAGGTGGGCTACGGGCATTATCAGAAGTTTTCTGGGGATACCAAGTAGACTTACTAGGCCAACAGCGCTTCCAAGCACGTGATTGCGCCTTGTGCTGCCTTTGAGGCCCGGACGCTGAGCCTCCTCGCCACTGACCTTGCCGGTTTAAACTCGGACAGACCCCCAGGCGATAGGATGTTTGGCAAGTCAAACAATCCAAATCAGGGTTCAAAAGTTGGTGTTGGGGCTGCAAGCTTGCAACTTAGGGAGAGGTGTCCATCCACAACGCAGGAGTCGCGCATAGCAACTGCGGTGGCTTTCGGCATGAAGAAGAGCTTGTTCTTGGGCTTCATCAAGAAGATGGACAAAAAGATGGAGCTGAGAGACGATGTCCACAAACCATGTCTCGACATGCCTCGTGAAGAGCATCGGAGCACTCACGACTCAGGACATTTCTGAACGACTCGACTCTGCAAAACATGTCCACGCCCGCGGCAGGCGGCAAAAGGCAAGAGGCCGACCTTCCAACCAAAATCCTCACTCCATTCAGCTCTCCCCCTTTGCAAGGTCGGGGAAGAAAGTAGGCAGGGGTTCGCCCCAAGAAGAGGCCTCAATAATTAAATGGAACCGTAGACCCTAAACCCTTGAACTGAGCAGGATAGCCTTAAACGATACTTCATAGTTAGGAGCCCTTGGGCTCGACGATAATATGTCAGAGGCTTCCTTAGAATCACTGAATATAGGCTCCATATTTAAGGGGTCTTTGGGCTCCTTGAGTTCCTAAACCCTAAACCCTAAACCTTAAACCCTAAACCCTAAACACTTTAAACCCTTTAACCCCTAAACCCCAACCAAACGCTGTATTCCTTAGCTTCCTCGAGGTGAGGTCTTCTTGCAGGATGAGGCACGCTGGCTTGGCCCGCCATGCCAGCTTCACAGCCTCGGCTTCCATATACCCTCCGTTAGTTTAGGGTTTAGGGTTTAGGGGGTTTAGGGGGTTTAGGGGGTTTAGGGTTTAGGGTTCAGGGTTCAGGGTTCAGGGTTTAGGATCTGCTTTACTTCTTGGCATAGCTTCCCTTTTGTTGATGGGCATAGAGGTTACGCTAGGTAGTACTTGGGACTTGTGTGAGCTAGAGGGGGTCATGCGTAAACGTACGTCTGCCGGCCCTCATTGCCTGTCATCGAATGAGCTTCTTGGGCCCACCAACCTAAGGGTAGTCACATGGCCCATTTTTGGGCCCTTAGTCCGGACCCCTCACATACCCCTTAAAAAGCCTTTAAAGCCCAATGGCAAGGGACCATGGTGGGTGTTGAAAAAATGTATAGGGGCACCCGTCTTGGCGTACCTATATAATCCTGCTGGAGGGTGGTGAGAGCATTTGGGGGGTGGGGTTTAGGGTTTAGGGTTTAGGGTTTAGGGTTTAGGGTTTAGGGTTTAGGGTTTAGGGTTTAGGGTTTAGGGTTTAGGGTTTAGGGTTTAGGGTTTAGGGTTTAGGGTGTACCCCTATTTCTAAGGGTTCAAGTAAGAGGGGTGGGACCCCTAAAAGGGACCCTTAATCTTATTCCCCTATATACCCACTATATAGTCCCTATATACCTAAGTAGCCCGTCTATGACCCCTAAAGAATGCCTAAGGTCCCTTATAAGGGTCCCTCCTTTAGTCCCTTGATATTTTTGGGACATGCCCACATCCAACCCCACAGCCCTTCATTTGCAGCTTGCTCAGGAACGAAACTTTCCTGGAGTCAAAGGTTTGAGAAGGAGCTGTAAGGACTCAACCCCCGAGCCTTAACCCCAAGCCCTACATTTATATGCTACCCCCAAACCCTAAACCCTAAACCCTTCCATGGTCGCGAAGTCTGAGCTGAGGCTTCGGCATTCCTGTTTCAGCTGATGAAGGCTCGCCTCCTGCAGGCGAAGGAAGGGTTTAGGGTTTAGGTTTAAAGTTTAGGGTTTAGGAGGGTTTAGGGTATAGGCTTT